GGATTGGGAGGGGATTGGGATGGACTGGGAGGGGATTGGGATGGACTGGGATGGACTGGGAGGGGATTGGGATGGGACTGGGATGGACTGGGATGGGATTGGGATGGACTGGGAGGGGATTGGGATGGGACTGGGATGGACTGGGATGGGATTGGGAGGGACTGGGAGGGGATTGGGATGGGACTGGGGTGAACTGGGATGAACTGGGATGGACTGGGGGATACTGGGGTGAACTGGGAGGGACTGGGGTCTGTGAGGGGGGAATTGGGAAGCACTGGGCTGAACTGGTTCAGTTTGATCTGGACCAGTCCATACTGGTCCATACTGGTCCGTACTGGTTTATACTGGTCTGTACTGGTCCATACTGGTCCGTACTGGTTTGTACTGGTCCGTACTGGTTTATACTGGTTTATACTGGTCCGTACTGGTCCATACTGGTCCGTACTGGTTTATACTGGTCTGTACTGGTCCATACTGGTCCGTACTGGTTTCCCAGGCGTTCCCAGGCCCGGACACGCCCCAGTTTGATTTGTTGCTGTTGGGGGTGGGGCCGGACGGTCACACCTGTTCACTGTTCCCGGGACACGCCCTGCTCCAGGTGAGCCACAATCCCCCAAAAAATCCCCCAAAATCCCAAAAAATTCCTCAAATCCCAAAAATTCTAAAAAATCCCCCAAATCCCCCAAAATCCCCAAAAATTCGAAACTCCAAAAACTCCCCAAAATCCCCAAAAATTCCCCAAAAATTCCCCAAATCCCAAAAATTCCAAAAAATTTCCGAAATCCCAAAATTCCCCAATTCCCCAAAATTCCCCCAAAATTCCCCAAATCCCAAAAATTCTCCAAATCCCCAAATTCCCAAAAATTCCAGAATCCCCAAATTCTCCAAATCCCAAAATTCCAGAATCCCAAAATTCCCCAAATCCCCAACATTCTCCAAAATCCCCAAAAGTCCCAGAATTCCCAAATTCCCAAAATTCTAGAATCCCCAAAATTCCTCAAATCCCAAAATTCCCAATTCTATTATCCCCATTATTAATTGTCCCCATTATTANGGACACGCCCTGCTCCAGGTGAGCCACAATCCCCAAAAATCCCCAAAAAATCCCCCAAAAATTCCAAAAAAATTTCCGAAATCCCAAAAATTCCCCGAAATCCCCAAAATTCCACAATCCCCAAATCCCCAAAATTCCCAAATTCCCCAAATCCCCACAATTCGTCGAATCCCCAAATTCTCCAAATTCCCAAAATTCCAGAATCCCCAAAATTCTCCAAAATCCCCCAAAGTCCCAGAATTCCCCAATTCCCAAAATTCTAGAATCCCAAAATTCCCAAATTCCCAAATCCCAAAATCCCCAAAATTCCCAATTCTATTTTCCCCTGGATTTTTTCTTTTCCCCCATTATTTTCCCCCATTATTTTGCTCTGGGTTTCTATTTTCCCCTGGATTTTTCCCCATTTCTCCCTGCATTTTCCCCATTATTTTCTCCTGGATTTTCCCCTTAATTTTTTCTGTTATTTTTCCCATTTCTACCCGGATTTCCCCCATTATTTTCCTCATTTCTCCCTGGATTTTTCCCATTTTCCCCTGGATTTTTCCCATTATTTTCCTCATTTCTCCCTGGATTTTTCCCATTTTTCCCCTTGATTTTTCCCCATTTCTCCCTGGATTTTCCCCATTATTTTCCCCTGGATTTTCCCCTTAATTTTTTCTGTTATTTTTCCCATTTCTACCCGGATTTCCCCCATTATTTTCCTCATTTCTCCCTGGATTTTTCCCATTTTCCCCTGGATTTTTCCCATTATTTTCCTCATTTCTCCCTGGATTTTTCCCATTTTCCCCTGGATTTTTCCCATTATTTTCCTCATTTCTCCCTGGATTTTTCCCATTTTCCCCTGGATTTTTCCCATTATTTTCCTCATTTCTCCCTGGATTTTTCCCATTTTCCCCTGGATTTTTCCCATTATTTTCCTCATTTCTCCCTGGATTTTTCCCATTTTCCCCTGGATTTTTCCCATTATTTTCCTCATTTCTCCCTGGATTTTTCCCATTTTCTTTCTGGATTTTCCCCATTATTTTCCCCATTTCTCCCCGGATTTTCCCCATTATTTTTCCCAATTTCCCATTATTTTTCCCCATTATTTTTCCCCAATTTCCCATTATTTTTCCCCATTATTTTTCCCCCATTCCCCATTATTTTCCCCATTATTTTTCCCCCGTTTCCCATTATTTCCCCATTATTTTCCATTCCCAGGAGCAGGATGCCCTGGTTGGGTTCCTGGAGGATTCCCCCAAGCCCCCTCCCCGCCGGGTGTCGATGACGCTGCCGCTGCTCAACAGCGCCCACAGCGTCCTCATGGTGGCCACGGGGGCCACCAAGGCTCCTGTCATCAGGGTGAGCCCTCACATCCCGGGGGGCTGGCGAGAAACCCCAATTCTGGGGTGAAACCCCGGGATTTTGGGAAAAATTCCCAGGATTTTGGGGTGAAATTTCGAGATTTTGGGGTGAAATCTCGGGATTTTGGGCTGGTGGCCACGGGGGCCACCAAGGCTCCTGTCATCAGGGTGAGCCCTCAGATCCCAGGGGGCTGGGGAGAAACCCCAATTTTGGGTTCAAATCACGGGATTTTGGGAAAAATTCCCAGGATTTTGGGTCCAAATCCTGAGATTCTGGGGTGAAATCTCGGGATTTTGGGCTGGCGGCCACCAGGGCCACCAAAGCTCCTGTGATCAGGGTGAGCTCTCAGATCCTGGGATTTGGGGAGAAATCCTGGGATTTTGGGGAAAATTCCCCAATTTTGGGTTCAAATCCTGGGATTCTGGGATGGAACCCCGGGATTTGGGGAAAAATTCCTGGGATTTTGGGGTGAAATTTCGAGATTTTGGGGTGAAATCTCGGGATTTTGGGCTCGTGGCCACGGGGGCCACCAAGGCTCCTGTGATCAGGGTGAGCCCTCACATCCGGGGGGCTGGGGAGAAACCCCAATTTTGGGGTGAAATCCTGGGAATTTGGGAAAAATTCCCGGGATTTTGGGGAGAATTCCTGGGATTTGGGGGTGAAATCTTGGGATTTTGGGGATTTTTCACACCATATGTTGGGGAAAATCCCATGCTTTTTGGTTCAAATCCTGGGATTTTGGAGAGAATTCCCAGGGTTTTGGGGTGAAATCTTGGGATTTTGGGAAAAATTCCTGGGATTTTGGGTCCAAATCCTGAGATTCTGGGGTGAATTCCTGGGATTTTGGGCTGAAATTCCCATCTTTAGTCGTGAAATCTCAGATTTTGTTGTGAATTCCCTGTTTTTAGTGATGAATTCCCCATTTTCAGTTGTGAATCCCCTGTTTTAGTTGTTAGTTACCCATTTTTAGTGGTGAATCCCCATTTTTTTGTTGTGAAATCCCAGAATATTTTGTTAAATCCCCATTTTTAGTTCTGAATCCCCTGTTTTTGTTGTTAAATCCCCATTTTCAGTCGTTAAATCCCCATTTTCAATGGTTACATCCCCTGTTTTTAGTGGTGAATTCTCCACTTTTAGTGGTGAGATCTCAGATTTTGTTGTGAATTCCCCGTTTTCAGTTGTGAATCCCCATTTTCAGTCGTGAATTCCCCATTTTTAGTGGTTAAATCCCCATTTTCAGTTGTGAATTCCCCGTTTTTGCTGTGAATCCCCATTTTCAATGGTTAAATTCCCCATTTTCAGTCGTTAAATCCCCATTTTCAGTGATTAAATCCCCATTTGTCGTTGTGAATTCCCCGTTTTTAGTGATGAATTTCACATTTTTAGTGGTGAATCCCCCATTTTCAGTGATTAAATCCCCATTTTCAGTGGTTAAATCCCCATTTTCAGTTGTGAATCCCCATTTTCAGTTCTGAATTCCCCGTTTTTGTTGTGAATCCCCATTTTCCGTGTTAAGTTCCCCATTTTCAGTCGTTAAATCCCCATTTTCCATGTTAAATTCCCCATTTTCAGTTGTGAATCCCCATTTTCAGTGATTGAATCCCCATTTTCAGTGTTAAATCCCCATTTTCAGTGGTTAAATCCCCATTTTTGAGTTGTGAATTCCCCGTTTTCAGTCGTTAAATCCCCATTTTCAGTGATTAAATCCCCATTTTCCGTGTTAAATTCCCCATTTTTGAGTTGTGAATTCCCCATTTTCAGTCGTTAAATCCCCATTTTCAGTGATTAAATCCCCATTTTCCGTGTTAAATTCCCCATTTTTGAGTTGTGAATTCCCCGTTTTCAGTGGTTAAATCCCCATTTTCAGTGGTTAAATCCCCGTAAATCCTCATTTTTGAGTTGTGAATTCCCCGTTTTCAGTTCTGAATTCCCCGTTTTCAGTGGTTAAATCCCCATTCCTCATTTTTGAGTTGTGAATTCCCCGTTTTCAGTGATTGAATCCCCCGTTTTGAGTTGTGAATTCCCCATTTTCAGTTCTGAACTCCCCGTTTTCAGTCGTTAAATCCCCATTTTCAGTGATGAAATCCCCATTTTTGAGTTGTGAATTCCCCATTTTCAGTTCTGAATTCCCCATTTTCAGTGATTAAATCCCCATTTTCAGTGATTGAATCCCCATTTTCCGTGTTAAATCCCCGTTTTGAGTTGTGAATTCCCGGTTTTCAGTTCTGAATCCCCGTTTTATTTCTCTCTCTCCCCCGTGTGTGTGTCCAGCTGCTCCTGGAGGCCCCTCAGGCCCCTCAGGCCCCTCGGGGCTCGTTGCCGGCCGCTCTGGTTTGCCCAGGCCCGGGGAGGCTGCGCTGGCTGCTGGACACCGAGGCTGCCCGGGAACTGCAGCGACCCCTGCAGGAACAGCCCGGGAATTGAATTGAGGAATTCC